CAACAAAGCAATGAAGCAAACACAACCATTGAACAACAGCGATTCAAGTTTCCCACCACCAAACGCCTTTTCGATGTGCTTCGCCGAGGACAAGGAAAAGACAGTGCGAAAGCAATGTAAGACCATGACAAAAGAAACGTGGCTTTCAAAATTGTACAAATGTAGGGCTTCCAGAGCAAGAACATGCGGACATGGGTGCTTCAGCGATGGAGATGGGACCGTGCCAGAGTGTTGCGCTCAGAAGAAAATCTACAAATATACCTACAACAACGGGTGCTCTTCACTGCTATTATAGAGCAATTTAGACATCGCAGTGACACCACAGCCAAGCGGGTTTTCATCCGACTGTTGTCCTGAATTGACGTCTACGAGCCCCGAGGTTGGCCGTCTAATATTTCCGTCCTTCGGCGAAGGGACCCTGGGACCGAACAAAATAACAGCATTGGCAAGCCCGACGTACTCAACATCTTATATACTTCGACAGACCAGCACCTTCGTCGTCGTCGTGTTCTTCGTCGACTTCGTCCGCCGCGAGTCCGGCGTACTACTGTGCACGCAGACGAATTCGACGCGTCTCCACCTGTTCTTTTCCAGCCGAGCTGGTTGCACGGAAAAGCTGGTAGGACGGTGAGACGTATTTTCATGTGTTACTGGTGGGTTATATACAACTCGCCCCGGTGTTCTAGTTGGTATCCACGCAACCAACTAAGGCACCAGGCCACGGGCTCGATTCCCGACGAAGATTTTTTCTTTACATTCGTTCCTGTTACTACGGCGTTGGTACTACATCGAAAGCGATAACTCGTTAGTAAATGCGAGGGTGGGGAGCGCTGAACCCTGCTCGCGATCAGAACTCCCAGGGCAGGCCCCGCAGGACGCGGTGCCCAACATCGACCCCATACGTGTGACCCCGGGTGTGTCGTTTGGCTATTTAGCTGCTGTGAAGAGAGAAGTCAGAAGATGGCAAACAATCAACCTATATATATATATGTAGTTTCACTGGAGGAGCAAGTGCCATACACGTGCGCGTGCTCATGCCCCCGTCTTCTGCCCTTTCGGTGTACGAGAGACAAGAAAGTGCCAGAAGGGCCTTGCACCAGCTTACGACAGGGCACGAGGCCGAACAAACTGTTTCCAGTCACCTGTTGATCATAGCTATGGACCTAAACTCTCCAACGGCGTTACGCACGGACAACGTACCTTCTCCTTGTTTCGTTTGTGCATCCTGGGGTCCGCACGCTTAGCATTCACTCCACGCAGTGAGTGAAATCGACCAACAGTGTCTTGAAGACGACGATGGTAAGGTCGGGGACTATGGTGGACGTACATGACGCCATCGTGGGCAAGGTCAAGGACGACGCGACCAAAAGCGAAGGGTGAGCATTTGGTTGAACTTGTCAACAAAATTTTGTTACGTTGTTGTCTCCGTTGCGTCAAATCTTCTACGGAGAAGCTGCCATGTCTGGTATGCTTGTCAAATATTGTGGCCAACCGTTCACAAGTGGGAAGGTTTCGGTGTGCCCGTAGAAGGATCTCTTCCACCATTCCCAAACCAGCGTGCGTCCCCAGAACCGTCTGTCGAAACTTGTGTGCACATGTGTGGTTCCATGCAACCCACGAAATAGCCGTAGAGTTATCCTGAGTCGTTACAAGCAATCGAGGTCCATGCCCCGGCGGGGTAGGGCTTCGTTGTTTTTTCCTCTGTAAAATGCGTGTCGCTATCCCGTCACCAGCTACAGCAGCAGTAGTTTTACCTTGTGCCCGCCCTCTTGTTGCTGGCGCGCGCGCTTTGAAGGCAAACCGCTGGGGGCGCGGTCCACCGTGTGCGCCAACCGAACGCCTCGGCCGTTGACATAGTGACGGACGGCTGGCTGAGAGGTTTCGACTTCGTCCGGGAGGGTATGCGACACGCCCAATGCTGTGCCTTTGCTATGAAGGTCAGTTTTTGCGTAGGTCTGCCGAGGGGATAACCTTTCGGGTATCGCTCCTCTTTCGCCTCGCACCGTGTGACCTTGCCGTACTTCTCTAGTGGTATTCCTATCGTAGAGAGCGGCAGCAGTGATATCTTCGTGCTTTGTATGGCACAATGATGCTGTTGGGTGGAGATAAAAACCGTGCAGTTTGAATCCCATGGTTTATTTTCTCTCTCCCCCCCCTCCTCGTACACCGGCGTCACGTTCTCGTTCCGTCAAATCCTACAGGACATGTCGACCGAGGCCTTGGGGGCTATGGGCTACAAGGTCCACATTCTGGCGAGGGGGGACGGCAACGTGCGACGTGAGCTTGCCAACATGGTGTCGAACCCGGCTAGCGCGGGGTTGTGCTACGACCCCGCTTCCGGCGGAGGCGATGGCACGTGGACCACCCGGACGTCCGTCAAGTTCTTCGCGGACTTGCTGGAGGGCCAGGTTGTCGACCTACTCGTACGCATCACGAGGAGCTACCCGGATCCAGATGGGGGACCCGATTACTGCCACCTCGTCGCCCTTGGACCCGATGGCTTCGTCCTCTGCACTTGCCTGCGGTTACTCGTCGATGGTCTCGGCTGCCGACATGATCTCCGGGCCATGCGTGAGACGGACTTCGGCCTTAACGGAGGGTGCCTTGCACCCCGCTGGCGTGACGGTACGAAGCCGTGGACGCTGGCACACCTCGCTGCTAAGCGTGCGGTGCCGTCGAATTCAAGTGCCGGGCTTCCCGGAGCGGTGCCTCCCGCTCCTACGGATCCTGGCGCTTTCTCCCACTCAAAACCGACGGCAAGAGCAAGCAATTGGGCCAGCTGCGTCGCCTTCGGGAAGGAGATCGCATCTCTGATGACAGAGGTCAACTCCGTCGCCCCCTGCCAACGCGTCCTAGACAACCTGCGCAACCACGCCAAGCAGCTCATCGAGGTGGAGGTGAGGACGCAGCACGAGGCCTCCACAAGCCGGATTTTCAAGGGAGTCGTTGCCCGGCCTATGACCGCCACCGACCCGCCAGAGCGAGCTGGCGTCGGGACGGGGCCGGCCGGGGGTCGCGGCCAAGGAGACGGCGGAAGGAGAGGCGGGGGGGGG